ATCCTCTTCCCCTTCAGATGGTTTCCATCAAGCTCTGCTCAGGCCATCTTCCTAATCACCCAACCTCTCAAATGGAAATGATGACCAATAAGTGTAACACACTGAACTATTTCTTAGTGCAATAGACATAAAACAAACCCTTCCAGCAGCAAAGACAGACTGTGACAGACACAGCTGTCTTCAAACTGGGTTTCACCTCTTCATTTTTGAAAATTGTGGAGACGTTTCCTTGCATTTGAGACTAAAGCTGCATTCCTGGTCAACTATTGCCCAGGTACTGCTGTAGTTTCTGATGGAGGAACCCCCCCAAGATACTACAGCAGGGAACACGAGAAGACATGAAGAGTAATAAAAGGGAAAAAGTAAGAAGTCATGGAAAGGACAGAAGAATGAACACAGGAGACCTTGTGATGTACCTGAAAAGAGAAAGTAGCGTGGAAGAGACTTCACTGCTTGTGACTAAGCAGGACAAGTGCCAGGGGAAAAACCGAGCCTCCCAGAACAAAGCAGAGGAACAAGAGGACACAGTTGGCAGGAATGAAGTTGGGTGAGACGTTAAGAAAACCTCAGCCCTGGGTGACGAGAGGAGAATACTAAAGTAGGACCCTAGAATGGAAGAAGCCAAATCCTCCCCCAGGGGTGCTGGAGAAGAAACTGCTGAGATGAGGGAGGGAAGCCCAAACCTGCAGTGTCTGGGCCCAAGCAGACAGACCCTGACAAAGTGGCAGGGGGACCCTAATGCTCCTGGCCCACGTGCAGCGGCCTTTGAAGACACAAACCTCTGCTGCATCTGACTGCACATACATCTGTTAAAGGTGTAACTGCCAACGGCCCAGCCTGCTAAGCCACATGACGGCAAAATGCAGTGATGCATTCATCTGACCAAACCAGAGACACCCCCTCGGCACACAGCTAGGGCACAGCTTGTCTCCTGACTGACTCAACCCAAATTTTACATGCTTTTTTCTTCATGCTTCTGTCAGAAACCCGTTTACTCAAGTCCCGTTTGAGCTAGGAGACAGCGGACCATGAACAGAGAAAGTGGTGAGAACGGGGTGATCTGTGAGAGGCCACCCAGATGAAGCCACCGGCGCTCTGGAAAGACTTTATAGAGAAGAGGAGCTATTTTATCTTGTTTCGGTAAACCTGCCTGGTGGTGCAGCCCTGCTCCAGAACGGCAAAGCAGGAGTAACAGAAACTGAACTCCCAAACCCCGCTGCCCTCCTGACACGCCAGCACACTGGCCCCGCCGCTCTCCCCAAAGCCTTCCCGGGCACATGATGGTGTAGCTCCGCAGAAGGAAACGCAGGGGCCTGCTCAAGCTCTGCAGCTGAGGTAATAGATGAGCTGCTAATTCAGCTTCTGTGTCCTGGCGCGCGGTCAGGGTCTCACCGGCGGGCTGTGGGTCCCCTGCCAGGCCGGCCGTGCCAGCTGCTGGCTGTTTGGAAGGGGCCGTGCCCACCCAGCCAACGTGCCAGGGGCCACCTCTGCCCAGCTGTGCCCTCAGAGGTTAAAGAAAAAAGCCAAGAAAAGTTGGACAATGAACTTCACAAAGGAAACTGTGTCAGAGATGGAAGACGATCCTGTTTTAGGCTCTGCCCTAAGCTCCGCCCCCCATCCTTTGAGGCCAGGTTATGTTTAGATTATATTACTTAGCACCAAAGTGAAGTACCCAAGCCCAAATAAGACTTGTAAACACATATGCAACCATCCTGTATGCACATGAAGATATGTCAATAGGGGATCACCAATTATTTACTTCCTGTAACTAGATGATTACAGTGAAAATTTACTTTTAATTGATTCTTATCTGCTACCATATAATAACATGCTGCCTTTTCTAGCCTCTGCATTTCAAGTGATTCACAGACTGTAAAAAAAGAATACTTTCCCCAAAAAGACATTCAAATGAAAGTCTGCCTGGTGTTCTTGCTGCTGGGTAGTAATTATCTATTTAATTACACGGCTCCATCCTTTGCACTCTCTATTGCAGAGGACAGATGCTTTTCCAGATGAAACAATCCTCAAATATCTCCAAACCCAGGGCCAGTGATTACTGTTGCTACAGCTCCAGAATGAAAGGCACTGCAGTCTGAAAATAAGTGGTGGAAGGTCTTGCTCTATAACAAAAGAATTGCAGGAGTTTAAACAAGAGTCATATTTTCTTCCTTTATGGCTTTATATTTCTCATTTTCTGCCACAAAAAAAAACAAAAACAACCCTCTATGGACCAGATATGTCTATAGCTCCTTCCCGTTGACCTAAATGAGAGTTTGCACATTTGTCCAAGGGCCATAACAGAAAAGACGTTGCTTTCTGTACCGTAATTTTACCGTAGGCATCACCCAGGTCACAACCAATGTTGCTGGACTGAAAAGATATATCCGGTGTCTGTTATTGTTTTTTCATGATGAATTCCAGGAATAAATTAACTTGTTGTATGTTTCTAATTATATTAAATCTCAACTGCAAAGATATAGAGATTTTAAATGAGATTAAGTTTGCAAGATCCTGAGTTCCTGTAGATGACTGTACCACGGGTGCATCTCATCTTTGAAAATGAGATGTTTGACATACTTGCAAATATTGGACTGATGTAGGCTGATAAACAAAATGATTTTGTGAATTCTTCTCCTACGCTTATTAAAAACATAATTGTTCACATTTGAAAAAATGACCTTACGCTTAAGATGATTAAGGCAGGGTTGTATCTTGTTCTCTGTAGCCTATCATAATCCCAGTATGGATTAACCATGCCGACTACTGTCCTTCTTGAACAACTTACTTAAGCATTTTCCAAAACTTGGGAACTGAGAAAGTTGAAATTAACAGCTGTGATAAGTCATAGGGAAAATAATTTCAACTAAGTAAGCAGATGCTGTAATGCTACTGGCACAAAAGTAGCAGTGGACCCAATAAAACTAATCTTGAGAAAATGAGTTGCTAGCCACGAGACGCCTGGCTGCAAATATTGGCAGGCGTACTGCTCGTAGCAACGGTTTCAGTAACATGACCTTTCTGTTACCCAGTTTCATGCTGTGTCAATTTATCTGATTTATAAGAAGGGAAGTGCTACTATCCTCAGTACAGCTCAAAAAGGACTGATCTATCCCCTACCATGGGAGAAATGGTTTGTCAACCATATTGTTCAATTCTTGAGGCCACTAGTTCCACTATAGGTACAGCTGGTTTGATAATAAAACATAAAATTGTTTTTGCACATTATTTCTCACAAATACCAAAAGAGAATACTGTCTCCAGAACGCTATTCTAAGATACAAGAATCTACTTCCGTTAATCTTGTGATGTTAGACGAGGTACTTCGAGATGGTATCAGAGTTGTAAGTAAAGTTATCTTTTCAATACACCCAGTCTGACATACCAGACATCTCCTTATGATGCTAACTGATCTCTCTCATACAAATGCCCCTCAAACAAAAAAGAAGTAATCTCCTGAAAAACAGGTTTCATGGATTATTTCTGAAGTACAGGGTAAGAAAGCAAGGAGCTAAAACCTCTCCCCTGGCTTAATGTGCACTGCAGAGCTGCTTCCTCGTTTCACTGGTTCTGGCTAATGCCACAAATCAGGAGAGACTACAGCAAAACCTGTAATGTTTATCTAAAGGACATTCATCTGCTAATTGTATGCCATCATGTGAACGGAAGCCTCTTGAGCCAACTTAGGGATCTAATTCTGTCCCAGAAGCACTAACCTTACATTGTGGGTGACATGAAATAAGCAGTACCCTTCTACCATCTACCATAAACATCTACCAAAGATGCAAGAACTGGACGACAGTGAGAGCGACCATGATAGTGCTTCAGGAGCCAGCGTCAGCTGGTCTGTGGTCCATACTGCTGGCAGTTTTTGCCTACTTCCCCACGTGTGTTTAGAATAAGATTAATTTAGGTCTCAACTAAGCAAATGAAACAAACCAGTTTCATAAAGGTTTGAACACCTATGGTTATACTTCCTGTATAGGTACAGCCACCATAGATGTGTTTGGCCACCTCAGTGGTGAGGAGGGGAGAAGCTATATTCACATTTTGAGCAAACAAGTTAAAACTCCTAATTTTTGTTGTAACAAAACAATCCTTTCTCATTCCCTCCCTCCTCACCGGTCTCTGAGGGCTGCCTGAGGTAGGGCAGAAGACCACTTTCCTCCTCCAGATGTGACCACACGCACACAGCACAAATGATAAAAACCTCCATATGGGACAGGTTCTCCCCACAGCTCACTGTCGAGTACAGAAAGCCAGATGCTTCTCTAACTAGGGCTGTCCAGTGTCGGTTTACTAACAAACTGTAAAATCCATGGGTTTAAGCAGAAACACCAAATCTCTAGAACCAATTCATCTTTGCAGGCAAAGCATAGCTGATACTTGGACAGTGAAAAGATAAGCTCACTGGGCTGTGTAACCGCAGCTGAACAATAATAAGCTGGCTGAAGGAAGGGTTTATCGTAAGGTATCATTTGTCAAGCTCACAGCCTTGAAGGAGGCAGCTTAACATGAAACGCTGGAGAATATGGTGTGCGAATGCAGGCTGTGCCTATCCCTGGGGTGGTATTTGCTCTCACCACAGTCATCAAGCCTCTGAGACATGAGAAAACTGCCTTCGGTCCATGGAAAAATTACTAAAGTAGCAAGAGGGAAATAGACTGCCTTAACGTGAGTATTAACTTTGCTCTCTGCTGGTAACAAAAGAGAGAGGTTTTTGTTGCTGAAAGAATTCAAACAGAGGGAAAAAAACTAAACAGCAAACAAAGGCAACACTGGTCAGTTCATTTTGGCACACATCAGGCTGCAATTCTGCTGCCAATGTCAATGTATTACATGCTGTGTAGCTATAAATTT